TGCGGGGAACTCTGCAAAAAACGCATCTTCGCACGGGCAGCCCGTGCGTTGGCCAATTTTCTTTTATGCAACATTTACAATAACTTATGCTAATGAGTACCCCGACTTAACGTAAAGCAGCCGCCGTTCATGCAGATAAGGACCTGATTGCTTCTAGTTTGATGCGAAAAAATATGTTCACACCGGGAAGCGTGGTGCGTCTCAACCACGGTTTTATTGTTTGAGAAAACCTTCAGTTCCTTTATAGGAAAAAGAAAGTGGAAGTAAATGGGCATAGAACGGTTGCATTTTATGGGGAGGCTTAAATCGTTGCCGTCCTATGGACGGCCTATTCAGAGTCATCCAGTACCGGTGCAGCTCTTATTGGTTCCTACTTCCTTTCTTCCGCAGGGCCTAAACGGCTCGTGGGTTCTTTTACTTACTTAAGATGTCTTTCCAAAGCATCGTTGACCGTGGCTTTAAATGATGCATTTAATTTAGGTTTAATTCGGTGCATGTTGAACTTGATGCTAATAAATTTAATTTAAGCAGTATTGTCAATTTCTTTTTATATCAAAATGTGTCTATGGTTTAAACGACATTATTTAGCAGGAAACATCCACAATTCAAGCAACGCCGAGTTCATCAAAAACGGCAGCAACACCGATGCTGGAGCCTGGCGAAATTCCTCGTTCATTAGCAGCGGCAAGCAGTTGCGGTAGCGGCGGCGTTCTTTCATCTGCTGCCGCCGCTGCTGCTGCCGCTTCACTGGCATCGATGAGCTTTTCGGAACAACCAGTTGCTGTTTTCCATCGATCCACCGGTGCTTTGGTGCCAGCCGATAAATGGCCAGTTTTGAAGAATCTTTCATCATGGCTGGACAAGCATCCGGATTACAATGTGCACTCCACCAGTGCTTCACTTGCCCTTGTATGTTCTCTCATTTTCTTTCAGACGTGCGTTTTTGAGAAAAAGGGGGAAGGATTATTGGCGGACAAAAGTGAGGAGTGAAAATGGTGAACCCTTTTTTATGCGTTTTTTTGCAGCTGCGCAATGCAAAAACGCATATTGACGAGGGGTTGCCTGTGTGTCCGTGTGTCTCTGAGTCTGTGCGTCTGTCACTCACTTTCATCTCAAGACCTATAAAAGCTGCAGGGCTGAAATTTCGGGGACTTAATCTGCATGCGCTTGCCGGCCCGAATCCCCAAAATTAGCGCCATCACCCGCGTGGTGCCCGCATACGGGCCCAACAGTTTTTTTGGGGTAAGTTCAGAACTCGGGGATCTGAGAAGCTAGAACGCTGAAATCTTAGGGGGGTGTTCCCCGTCCAAGTAGGTGTTAATGCACTGAAACCCAACCCCCGGGTAAGCGTGGTGCCCGCGCACGAGCCCGCCAAAATTTTTTTTTGGGTAACTTCATAACTCGGAGATCTGAGAAGCTAGAATGCTGAAATCTTAGGGGGATGTTCCCCGTCCAAGTAGGTGATAACTGAAGAGCCAGGAAAGCTAGAAAGCTGAAACGTTGAGGGGCTGTTTCCTGCCAGCTGTGACGGCCAGTCTTAATTTGTTCAGCTAGAAGTATTTGCTGAAAAAACCGATGCTGGTAGCGACAAAAACTGCGCGAAACTATGCAAAAAACGCATCTTCGCAGGGGCGGCCCGTGCGTTGGCCAATTATTTTAAGTAAGCCGCATGGCACACCCAAGTGTGATGTGCAGATATCCTGCCTTGAGACTCAAGTTTTAAATCTAAAATAATATGATTAGAATTGATAAGGGTTCTGTATTATCATAATACTAGTTCTGAGTTGTGGCGGCAATGGCATTATGCTGATGCCGGCCGTTTCCCATACCCAATATCGTCCTTCTGGCTTTCCTTTGTTAGGAATAAAGTTTGTTCTGTTTGAAGTTCCCCACTTTCAGTAGCCAGCATGTTTTTGGGAGATAGACATTACACATATGTAATCTCTTCAGGTCTTACCACATCTCCAATTCTTTGCTTTCGACTTATAGCAAGCGAATTCAGATATGTTCATTTTTTTGTGTGGTTCTGGGAATCCGTGTCTTAGTTGAGCTAAAAAATAAAAAGATGTGTTGCTGAAACTTCTGTTTCTTTCACCTTTTAATC